AATTTGTTCACATAACCTAATAGTAATCCTTGTTCTAAAACTCGGCCGAGTAGCCGATTCCACGGTCGAGAAGCCGGTCGGCGGTGGGTCACCGTGGCGAAATGGGACTGATCGGAGGAGCTACGGGGCTGATCGGAGGACCTACGCGGATGACCGAGTTTTCACTGCGTTGACCGCGATTTAACAAAAACTGGCCCTTTTTTAGCAAATCCGTCGAAACCAAATGTTTTATCTTCGTTCTCAACTTTCTCTCACGATCAAACTCACTTTCTTCTTTACTAATCAAGAGCCATTATTCTGGAAAATTCATAGATGTTGAAAACCTGTAAAATTAGGTTTCGGCTGCGTGAAGATGATGAAATTGTCCGGGTCTTCGTGGCCCAATGGTAAGGTCGGGCTCTGGTTGCAAACACAATCCGGGTTCGAACCCTGCTAGAGGAAAGTACCTCACGAATTTCCGGACACCCACATGGGTATGGATCCTTGCTTTCGACCCATTTGAATACCCGGAAGGGGGCCTACCCATGGGTTGCCCTTTCTCCAGGGGATTAGTCTGGGTCTATGTGGACCTGGGATTACCCCTGAGTTATCAAATAAAAAAAAAGAAGAAGATGAAGTTACAGCCAATGTTTTGATAATAATCAAACCAAATTTGGGCCATTTGACAATATAAAAGGCCCATACGAGTTTTGTTATAGATCTCCATGGCAGAGAGCTTTAGAATGAATTCTCGTGATCCGGCACGTCGTAGTGATGAGTCACAGCCCCATGAAAACCCTTTTCAGCCTCGTGATGAGCCACAGTCTCAATATCAAAACGAAGAAGAGGAAGAAGAGGATTCTGGTGGAAAAGGATCAGAAGATGAGCTACAGCGGGAACGGACGGGAACGCATGAGATGGCTGAAGAGATCGCAAAGCTTAAGGAGTCCAAGAAGAAGGCAGAGAAGCCACTACCTCCATCTCAAGAGGTAAATGAGCCTTTCAAGTGCAACTTGATCAACCATAATGGAAATAATGATGTTGTTGCAATAGGATATTGCTATCCAAGCCGTGTATTTCTCCACAATGTACCCTTGAAGCCTGGTGAAGTTGCTGTGACAGTGTCTGAGGTCAAGATAGACATACATCTTTGGGCACCAGTAGATGACATTGAGATGCTAAGAAATGCAATTGACGCATTCATTGCCTGGCCAAAGGAAATGGTAGTACATTATGAGAGAGTTAATAACAGAGAGGAGGAGAAATCAGAGGAGCAAATTGAGAAGAATGCTAGTGAGAATGCGTCAAAGAAGGATGAAGCTAATGAGAGAGTTAATAACAGAGAGGAGGAGAAATCAGAGGAGCAAATTGAGAGGAATTCTAACACAGAACAGCAATCAAAGGAGCTACAGCGGGAACGGACGGGAATGGATGAGAACGAACGGGAACTGACGGGAACGGACGAGGAAGAAGAGCGGG